TCTTATCTTATCTCCTATCAGCATCCTTGGCAAGGCGATTATGAAACATACAGTCCCTATTTCTGAAGCGCACCAGATTGGGGAAAGTATCTACATAACCCAATGATTCCCAATTTTTGATCCTCCAGGTTTTTGACTTTAGCTTCCAGAAGCCCCAGACAGTTTGACCAACTAACATCTCTGTGAGCTGAAGACCAAAAACACCTGTAGGATCAAAGGTTGTTAACCAGAGATGGATCCACTGCTACATACACCAGTGATGGGAAATATCTAACTCTCTCAAAGTTGTTGAAATGCAGACTTTTGCTTTCCCACCACAGGAATTACAGCCAAACAGCATATGGGGCAGATCACACATATTCCTATACAACCTCTGGAGAGAAAGACAGCAACTGTGACATTTCTGTCCACAGATCCAGTTAGCTAGATCCAAATGATAATTTTTAAAAAGAGTATAACTAAAATAAGCCATGCTTCATCCTGACTGGTAAAGACAGTAGCCCTTAAGCATATATTATAGTCCCCTTACCCTTCCTCGCACTGGTGTATGTGCCAACAGTCAAAATATTTACATTATCGCTCCATACATCTTACAACCACAGTTCCCATATTAGGACAAAGTGCTTCTCTGTCAAGTAAAGCTGCTACTCAAAAACATATTAAGTACCTAGTATTCCTCCTTCTACCTTAGCTGTCCTGGAAAGATGTCTGCTCCTGAAACTTTTTCTTGGACCTCTGCTAATCCTTAGTTGTTGTTGTTGTTTTACTTTTTTTAAATGGGTATTGACAGCTTTTATTGGAATGCTGTTAATGTGCATAATTTATTCGAGAAACAGAACCTGAAATGTCAGCTTTGTAAAAGAGAGAACATACAGACGCAGAGGCCTGATAACAACCTGCATCCTGTTGTCTCAATAGAGTTTATGAATTCAAGAATCTGAATTCACGTGATACAATCCACATGCAAAAGGTTTGAAGCAATTCTGGTAGGCCATTCAGTGCTAATGAAGGTGGACAACTGAAACATTCACACCTACCTCCAACAGACAAGAGTTATTTCTCTCACCCTGGACACTCCAGATATGTTGTTGTTCATGCGTTCAGTTGTCTCCGACTCTTTGTGACCTCATGGACCAGCCCACGCCAGAGCTCCCTGTCGGCCGTCACCACCCCCAGCTCCTTCAAGGTCAGTCCAGTCACTTCAAGGATGCCATCCATCCATCTTGCCCTTGGTCGGCCCCTCTTCCTTTTACCTTCCACTTTCCTCAGCATAACTGTCTTCACTGGGCTTTCCTGTCTCCTCATGATGTGGCCAAAGTACTTCAACTTTGTCTCTAGTATCCTTCCCTCCAGTGAGCAGCCGGGCTTCATTTCCTGGAGGATGGACTGGTTGGATCTTTCCTCCAACACCACAGTTCAAAAGTATCTATCTTCCTTCGCTCAGCCTTCCCTAAGGTCCAGCTCTCACATCCGTAGGTTACTACAGGGAATACCATGGCTTTGACTATGCGGATCTTTGTTGCCAGTGTGATGTCTCTACTCTTTACTATTTTATCGAGATTGGACATTGCTCTCCTCCCAAGAAGTAAGCGTCTTCTGATTTCCTGATATATAAACCAGATATATAAACCCCTTTTTCCTAGTTCCAGATATATAAACCCTTTTCCTAGTTTCCAACAGACCTCACAACCTCTGAGGATGCCTGCAATAGATGCGGGTGAAACGTTAGGAGGGAATGCTTCTAGAACATGGCCATACACCCTGAAAAACTTACAGTAATTCTGGAAAAATATTATTATGGCTGTACAGTAAAAGTCAAAGGTGAGCAGTCTACATCACATGATCAAAAGACCACAAACACTTTATTTATGCATTATTTTCTCCATGCCAGTACACCTTTTTGCCAGTCAGAAACTCCTGCATTGTTTTTAGTTTGCCTTCACTTGTGGGAAAGAAATTAGTGATGAGACTGGCCTCAGGCAATTCCCACAGTACAGGTATTCAACACTCCCTGTTTTGTCTCAAACACACCAAAGGAGGAAACCTCCAACCCATTCTGGTTTTCCTCCATCCTGTTAGAAAATGCTACAAGACATAGTAGCATGTCAGTAAAGTACGTAGTAAACATAGCAAGCATTCAACAGAATCCACAATATGTACAACAAAAGGATGGGGATTGCTGGTTATGTGCCTCCTGTGTGTCTCCTAGAGAAGCTGACATTGTCTGCTTCTTCTAAAACCCAATCTCAGAAGGCCTTAATGATACTAGTCCTTGTTGAAGGACAGAAGAGAATGCTCTAGCTAGTCAGTATGTGAATTCTCTCCTCCAGAGCCAAGGACAGTCTAAGGCCTATTTGGTTAAGTATCTGGACGTTAAAGCCATATGCCGCTTTGTGTTCCAGAAGGTTGTAATAAATAATGTTAGTGAGAGACATCTGTGTTCAGTGCTATTTATCATATTGAATTAAACCACTGTTATTCATAAAGCTGAAAACCCAGGTCACAGGATTAGTAAGCATATGCTACAACTAAGGAGATAACTCAGTCGGTAGCTGTTTGAATGAAACCACAAAAGTACAATTTTGGATTACAAATGTGAAGGCCCAGGGTAAAAAACCTACAAAACTTAAGGGGAAAAAGGAATAACTGAAATATTTAATTAGTGAAGGCTCGACTAACTCATAATATGGAGATCTGTATGTAAGACCGTTTGCAGCAAGGATGGGCCTAAACCATCCCATTTCTGGCTTCTCTGGAACTCTGCGGAGCTGCAATTCAAAATCTTGGCAACCAGGAGTAACAGTATGTCACATTTCAGGTTATTCTGAGATGATATATATCTGATTTAGGTATGGAGTTGTACAGCGCATATATGTACTGCCTCACAACTTGTTTGAAACATTTTTCCCTGCAAAAATTTCTTTTACTTATTCAAAGTAAAAAAAATCACAGTAATGATAAAACTATCCGACGGGTGAAAAATATCCATAGAAGAAACCAAACTGGCACAGTAATTAAGAATCCATAAAATTTCCATCGAGAAGTCAACCACTCAAAAGACCCTGGGAAGTCAGCACCCCCCCCTTTTTTTCTTTTTCTCTTTATCACTCCACTTTTCTCTCTCCCTTTCTCTCCCTATTGCTACTATATGTTTTCCCCCACTTTCGCTGTAAACATTATTTATATGCAAATAAAAACAAATTAAAAAAAGATTTTTTTCAGTTCCATTTTTGAAGGGGAGTAGCATAACCTGTGGGTGTTCTTAATGAAGACTCAAAGCAACCTATGGGCCTCACAATTCGCATCCCTATTCTACACAAATCAATGATAATTTCTATGCATACATTGAATATACACAATACTCAAAGCCCAAGATGCATTTCTGCACCTTGTGACTGTGGCCTTCTTAATGAGAAGAGTATGGCTGTGCCTTTTGATTATGTTGGTACAATATTATGGAGTTCAACATTTTCAACACCGTATTAAGTTTTAAATCCACTTATACAGCCAGCCTAACCTTTATTATTGTGATATCCAAATAATAAACTTCACACTGCTTATTATACAATTTTTGGTTTCTGTTTTCCTCCCCCGCCCCCTTACTGACATGAAAAAATCAAGATACACAAGCTTAGGCAACACAAGGTGAAACAGTCTATGGCTCTTGGTTTGCTAAACAGCAAATTCACAATTTTGCTTGTACAAGGCCTTTATACTTTTAAATTTCAAAAATACATTGAATAATGCCAATGAAAACCAAGTTATGAATGAAGCACGGGATACGAAAATGAGTAGTGCAACTGCATATATCAATTTCAGGATTTGTCTGAAAACGAATCTGGAGTGGATGTGTCTTCCCATGGCTTCCAAGTTTCTGAACATCTCATCTCTCTAGTAACATTTCAATTTTCAGTATTATCTGCCCATAAGGCAGAAGAAAACAGATATATAATTGATAAATTGCAGCAGTGGTAGTGACAACGTGTTACACATTCAGGAAGGTATTTTATTCATGTTGCCAGGGATCTTGAACAAAATCCCAGGCAACCAAGAAAAAAAGAGTAAGAAGAGAAATAATACAGAGAAAACAATCATTCCATATGTTGTTGAAGACTTTCATGGCCGGAATCACTCGGTTGCTGTGAGTTTTGGGCATACAACCTGGAAAACTCACAGCAACCCAAACATTTTGTATATTGTAATATTTGTAGAGTGCTTCCCTTTTTCCCCAGATCAGCTTCTATTCCAGAAGAATACCCTCAGAAACTGCCACTTTATTGTCTGTACAGCTGCCCTTATTTTATATTTCTGCAAAATTAACAACTCTTTGTATGACAGCTTGATTGCAAACGTTCACACAATACTCTTTTTTATTGTTCTTTGCACTCAATATTTTAAAAAGCTCAAAAAAAGAGAAAAGAAATACACATTTGTATTATCTATACTTTTGTAAGCTTCTCTTTAAAATGCAAAAACCTTGCCATTAACCACAAAGCAATAAAAAGAAACACAACATACACCAGTTGTTTTCTCAGAACTTCCCACCCTCAGGGAACTTTTTCCTCAGCTATTCATCTGCCAGCGTTGGGCATCTGCCATGATGAGCAACAGAATTGCTGTGCACTGCAAAGAATTCTGACAATGCACCCTCAGTTCATTCTGGGTTTTAAACCAGGCGTTCCTGGTGTAGCTGTGACCCTGTGGAAACAGGATCACTCCCCGGATTCTTCTGTGGCTGCACAATTTGCCTGTGGCTGGGCGAAACTGGCAATAGCAGACAAGTTGTTTTGGGGGTAAGAGCTTCAGAACAAAGTGCTTCCAACTCTTGTACCTCCCTACTTCAATGTTGCAAAAATAATGTAATTTAGTTTAACAAATTATTTAACAAATAATTTTTAATACAGATGCAAGCATAAACTTAAAACAGAAATATTGTAGTTCTAATATTACTGGGAAAATGTATCCTGATTTAGGAACCAACATCTAATGCCAACACTCACCATCTGAATGGGTTTCTTGTGCAAGTCTCTCTCCGTTACCAGTTTCTCTTGGTCAGTGACATAGAGGCCTTTTTGTGCCAGGGCTTGAATAACAGCATCATGGCCAAGGAGTGGTTTGGCAGCATCACTCTTCAAAATTAGACTCCCAGCACGACAGTAGAGTTCAGCAGATAGCAGCAAATGAACTACAGGAGGTTTAATATGTTCCTGGTCATATTGATCTGTATAAAATGGTTCTCGAAGCTCCTCTGGAACATTTTCTAGAAAGGGAAAAAGATAAACACCTTGAATATTTTTAAAGAGTCTAATTGTCAGAAAAAGGGCCTAGGCAGAATATATTAAAAGAATTGTAACACACAGGAACAGTGTTGCAATTATTATGACACAGAGGTGCAGTTTTCCAGATTCCATAATTTTAATGAAGGGGAACATTCAGCTTAGAAGAGCAGCTTTCACTCTTCATCTCTCAAAGCTCGACAAGGACTAACTTTGTACTAAGAGGAATGACAATGCTGTCTTTGATTTTGATCTGCACAGTAGCCCATAATTTGCAGCAAATGGGACCCTTCAAGTTGGTTTTCAGGCCAACCACTTTACACACAGCTCTAGACTGTCGACCTTTGCAGCCTGAAAGACAGTTGCATCTGTCAAGTAGGAAATTTAGGTACCGCTTATGCGGGGAGGCTAATTTAACTAATTTACGAGGCCATAAAAATCTCCAGCAAGCATGCAAAGAAAGAGGAAGTACTTCATCAGTGTCACAAATGGATGGTGAAGCGACAGCTCCCCTGGTAGCCAGAATACCCTCATGAAAACGCTGGAATATTAAATAGCCTCTTTGTCTATCTATATATGTTGTGTGTCTATGGCAGGGGTCCTCAAACTTTTTAAATCGGGGGGCAATTCACTGTCCCTCAGACCGTTGGAGGGCCGGACTATAGTTTTTTTAAAAAAATCAATAAAAAAATTCCTATGCACATTGCACATATCTTATTTTGCTCTGTGGAAGGGCCCTTAGAGGGGGTTCTTTCTAGCCCTCTTTAGGCAGTAATTCCAGGAGCAGAGAATGGGAAATCTTCCTATTTCTAGTCTGAACAAAATCTGGCTAGCAGTATTTATGCGGAGCAGCTGCCCTTGGCTGGCTCATGCTGCCCATCGGGCCTGATGGATAGTGTGAGCCAGCCAGGGGAGGGGCACTGTGGGGGGCGCTCCTCCTCCGCGGGCCGGATAAGTACCCTTGGCGGGCCGGAAGTGGCCCACGGGCCATAGTTTGGGGACCCCTGGTCTAAGGCATTAAATGTTTGCCATGTATATGTACATTGTAATCCGACCTGCGGGGTGAGAAGGGCAGAATATAAATACTGTAAATAAATAAATAGACTGGCTTTTTAGTAGGTTGGGTCGGTGTGCAAATATGTATGCATATATGGTATATGCCTTCAAGTCACCTGTTTTCTCAGGTAAGAAATACGTAGAAACGGTTTTGTCAGTTCCTTTCTCTGAAAATAGACTGCATCACCTGGTGCTCCCTTGTGGTCTCCCTGCTTAGTTTCCAAAATGTAAATATCACTAAATGTAATCACCATCTAAATTAGCTTCACTTTGTAAAGGGATTACCATATACCAGCCACCCCACATCTGATGGACTAGTAGATATGTCATATTGCAATCATCATTATCACCAACTCTAGCCATCATGGGATTTGAGGATAGTTGTATTTTTGAGCCATCTATAGGACCTTGGGTTGAGGAATATTGCCATACTGAGGGTTGATTTTTAAAAAGCAAGTGAGGTACATTCCCATTGCCCTCCAAAGACCAGAGAGTCAGTCTCGACTGGTTCTTATTCAGATGTTCAATGTGTGTCTGGGTTGCACAGTTTCAGATCACAGCTTGAGTTTGGAAGATTATTCTACTATTTCCTACTCCCCGATCTTCAAAGCAGCTGTGAACTTTATACGCACACACACACACACACATAATATGTGGGAGAACCAGATCACAGGCGTCCAAAATCTTTTCTTGATCCACTCTAGAGAACACAATTAAGCTCAGGAATTAACAGAAGAACTGTATGGTGTTGCATGATTTATGGGGGATATCTTTTGGCTTGTAAATTTTAGACGTACTGTAAGAGAATGCTATCATTTTTATCACTGTGGCAATTTTGGATTTTAATGGATTTTCCTTACAAGATATGTACAGCAATTATAAAATGTGAAAACATCCCAGAAAGTATCTGTTTATTATTAACGACAGGGAACCGCTTAGATGGGATCAGGCTACCCACTTCTGGGTAAATTCATTTAGGCAACATTAGATTTTGCAATAAATTGATGGATGACTCTTGGTCACTTGGGTAGGGCTATTTTGTCTTTCAATGCCTAGATCAGAAGGTTACCTTCTCCCACTTAAGACCTCCTGCAGGCCACACCAGCCCCCAAAATAGATCCAGAATTATATGGAAATCCATGTCCCCAAAACCCTTTAAAGAAAATGGACAAGACATAGACATGCATAAGATAATTTATAGTAAACATGAAGATGCACTTTCTGTCAAGTAATTGGCACAAGTTTGCACAGCTGACAAGGTAGAAAGTCAGGGACAGTAACCCTTTCAGTGCTTGGAAACACACACACATTTGAACAACAGAAATATCTTCGTCAGCATGACCACTGCCTGAAGGATGGTAGTTCCAAGCTCTGTCCCTACAAAAGCAAGCCCAGAACATGACATTACTTTAAGATGAACATTAGCCAGACTAGTAGTATATTATGAGCATAATTAAGGGTGGAAAGACAGTAGAGAGTACTCAACCACAAGCAACAGTGAAACCTTAGCAACAGGAAAGATCAACAAAGAGTATTTTCTTCTTTTATCCAATACAGTGGTAGGCAACTTGAAGCTGTCCAGATGTTTTGGGCTATTCTCACCATTGCCAGATAATATGGCCAATTGTCAGCTCTGCAGCAAAAATGTCAGTATAGCAGAAGCTACATCCCTGACCTAATGTATCTGTGCCAATACCTAAAGGAGTACATAAAAGGACTGTGGAATATGTCCTATGCAAACTGTTAAGCTTCTTGCAAATCTTAAAGATATAGGAGGAAATCCACCCAAACCTATACGCCGTAAAACTTGGTAATTATAAATACAACTAACAAAAGATTTTATTATTCACACTAAAGGGAAAATGTCAAATAATCAAAAAGCTGTTCCCTACTCAAAATATAGTTTTCTCTATCAATGGTACTATATCTTATACTGGCTGGAGTTGCTGTAATCAAACAGATCCAAAATGTACCAGGTGGAAAGATGTTGCACAGAAGTACAACATTGTTGGGTGAGTTAGAGAATACATGATAAGAAATGTTATGGTGGATTAGTTGTACATGCAGTTCTTTGGGGATACTACCAAAGAACACAGAAAAATTCTCAGGATGTTTGTACAGATGAGTGGTTCTCAACCTGTGAGTCCCCAGATGTTTTGGCCGACAACTCCCAAAAATCCTAACAGCTGGTAAACTGGCTGGGATTTGCTATGGACTGTGGCGCAGCTGGCTGGGAGTCGGCTGCATTTAAGATCACTACTGACCGAAAGGTCATGAGTTCAAAGCCAGCCGGGTCCGAGTGAGCTTCTGACCAATTTGTGTAGCTTGTTGTCGACCTTTGCAGCCTGAAAGACAGTTGCATCTGTCAAGTAGGAAATTTAGGTATCACTTATTTGGGGAGGCTAATTTAACTAATTTACAAGGCCATAAAAATCTCCAGCAAACATGCAAAGAATGAGGAAATATTTCATCAGTGTCACAAATGGATGGTGAAGCAGCAGCTCCCCTGGTGGCCAGACTACCCTCATGAAAAAAAACTGGATTGTTAAATAGCCTCTGAGTGTCTGTTTATATATGTTGTGTGTCTATAGCATTGAATGTTTGCCATGTATATGTACATTGTAATCCGCCCTGAGTCCCCTGCGGGGTGAGAAGGGCGGAATATAAATACTGTAAATAAATAATAAATATAATAAAACTGTGCTGGTACGTCTGTACCAGGAGCTCCAACTTTATTTTCTCTCTGTTATCTGTTTGCAGTCATAGGGCAGGCCTCCTGTCCATCATAATTAAGCTTTGGTTCCGCTCCTTGTTCAGGACTCTGGGAGGGAAAGGAGCCATTTTTTGGTCAGTCTCTCATAAGGAAGCTAAACTATAGGACGTAGACCAGCTCATCCCGTAGAAAAGCTTCTTTTCTCCAGAACATCAGGGGAAACAGAAACAGAAATTCCAGGGAAAAGGTCCCAAGGCTCTGGCTGAGAGCTCACAGCCTCTCAGCCTCACAGCAATCAGAGGAAAATCAACCCTTTCAAAGAATTCTCTGCGGGAGGGCAACACTACAGATCCACGGAACTCCATCTGAAATATCTACAAGCCTCAGCTGGTAGGTCTACTCGATACCCAGACACATTTGGAATCGGTAGTAAGACCCACACCGATGAGGAATAGATAGTAAACAGACTGGGAGAGGTTAAATAGGTTTTTTTTCCTACAGAGAAAGTGCAGTTAATTAAAGTCAGGTACCAGTCCATTGAGGAGTAGACTAAGAAAGCCCTGAGGTGTTGTTTGAACCATTGAAGATCTGTTGTTTGTTCCATAATAAAGACTTTGTTGTATCATTAGATACTCTAAATACCATTACTTCAGAAAAATCCCTGGAAACCTCTCTTTGAGGCACCTTGGCTTCCTGTTGGGCTTAAAGTTTACGTCCTATAGAAAAGACAGCTGTTACAGGCCCAGCGCGCGACAGAACAAAAACAATTTGCTGGAATAACCATTCTCAAATTTGGGTCCAGCCTGTGGATGCAGGCAATTAAGCTAAGGAAGAGAGAGGACGTAAGGATGCAGTGAAGGTTTTCATCAAGGTCTTGTCAATTGCTGGAGTCCAAGACCAGTGACCGAGATGACAGGGAGGCAAGAGAAAGTTCTGCTTCCCTAACTGTAAAGCCAGGTTCACCTTGAAACCAAAAAGACAATTGCAGGAGCAGACTTCTTTTAAAGACACTGCCCTGTGGGAAATTGAACTGCCTTTGCAGTCTCGTTCTGCTCACTTTGTTCACATGTTCTAAAGAAATCTACCACTGCTTCTTTTAAATTTATAGGGTTTTTTTTTTGTTTGCAGAGGAAAACACATACTATCACTTAAGAGTAAAAAACGTGTTCCTGCATATTATTTATGGTGTGTCTGCGGGGCTGAAAAGTCCTGTGT